TGGGTGAATAAACTTTAGTTCAAGACTGAGGTTTAAGACCTGCAGTCGAGATACTTATATACAAGTTTGGGTATTCTAAATATAGTACAAAAGTCTGTAGCAGCATGTTAAACACCCAGTACCAGCATGTTTTGATGCAATCATGGTCAGAATATTAGCATACGCTGATTATGATAAGTCAGATAAGATAAGATGTGGTGAAATCATAATAAAGGTATCAGTGGTCCAACAGCCTGTAGCTTGAATGATATGCAGGGCTGTGCCATCTTCAGCTAGTCCAGTGGCACTGCCAGCTCACATGGATTGTCCTGCAATATGTTTATCAGGGAAAACGGTCCTGAGTTTACAAATGAACCATCTGCATGTAGAACAGTCCCCATTCTTTTGCATCCACAGCAGTGGATGGATTGGGAAAAGTCCATCCCATGAAGCAAGGTGCTGAATGAAGGGTGCATATGGATCAACAGTGTTTCAGCACTTGATGATGATCTTGTTACCCTCAAATGATGTATCAGCCTTGTGAGCCAGCAACCAAAAGGAGTAACAGTCATTCTGAATTTCCATGCTCGCTCATCAAGTGAATTTCCTCCAATCCCATAATTCCTTTGCATCAGGCATGCTTAATTCAGTGAGATGCAGAAGGCCATAGAACCCTGTGAGAATCATGGCCAAGAAAAGCAAGTCATTGTGAGATGTGGAGGGGTTGAACTTGTTGAGTACAACTTGTAAATGGGGGGGTAAGGGGCAGTTTACGTTTAACTGCTGTACCCCATAATCGCATGCATCCCTTCAGGGTCCGTTTCACCATCAAGGACTTGCAGATGGCACAGATGTCAGGAAAGTAATGTTCCAGATGATTGCAGATACCTGAAAGATAGGAATCCACTGATTTTGGCTTGATGTGAAATGACATGTAGACAACAAAGAAACTGAGAGTGTCAGTTGTTGGTTCAATTGGGAAGTTATGTTGCTGGCAGAATGAGATATATGAATTGAGAGCAGATGTATAGGTATGGGCTGTTCTGGTATCAATTGCAAACCCAAGAGCAATAGAATGCTCATGAACTAAGCATTCGAGAGACCAGAGTTGTCGATGCAGTTGCCTAGCCCCTTTTGACAAAGAAAACTTTGGTGCCATGAGAGAGCTGCAGCAGTGTGATAGGAGCTTAACAAGTGTTCAAGTTCCAGATTGCTGCTGCTCATTCTATCCAGAGACTCTCAGAAACACCTAACATAGTGTTAGACATAGTAGTAGTATAAGATGCACATGGACTACATATTTGATTTTTCTTGTCTTTTTCATTTACAATGCACAGCCTCACATCTCAGCTTTTTACCAACACACTGAGATGTGAGTACCCCTGCATATATTTGTCCTAGTATCATGCTTATCATCTTGCAGTAATGCTACATTATCTTGTTTAGGTATCTAATACAGCTTTTTACCAACATGCTAAGATTGATGCTACATTATCTTATTTAGCATTGCTCACTCTCTTTTTCTTGAGCCTGCCTTCCATTACCACGTCTGAGCCACCTACCTTGTAACTCCAAGACGTTATGGGCCCTGCTACCAGCATGTCAATGACAACTGCCATAAAGCTAATAAACACAACAAAGCTCGTAGACAATGGATCAAACTGGGTAGCATTTGAAGAAAAACTCACCAACAAGTTTCTGGACAAGGGTCTTGGTTGACACCTACGAGGAACTGCTTGTGTACCCCCTCACCCAGTTGAGCACAAAGGAAAATTCTACTGGGATACTGACACTGCATTTTCACACCCTCTCTCAGATGATGACCTGGAGAAGCTGGAGAACAAGCTTGAAGAGTATGAGCAGAAAGAGGCAAAGATGTCCACCATCATTTACAAATCCATATCTGACTCCACTTTCAATGAGATCAAGGGCGAAGCAACAGCTGCTCTTGTCTGGAAAAAGCTAGGGCTGCACACTGTAACTGTATTGTATGGAAATACAGCTTCCATGTATGGTATACATGCCAACACCATGAGTGCCTTGAGCCATACCATACAACATGGCTGTCGATGGCTGTATATTTGTGGCAGTGCTACAAGGGGGAAGCATGCATTTTTGAGTCTATAAATCCTCTTGAAAACAGACCAGAATTACTCCCCATATGTTTTATGGGTCTCCAAGTCAGACACAACATGTTAGGTGTCTTCGCAAGTTCAAAATATTGCATTCAAAGCACTATGACATCACCAATAATCCCTTAAGTCTTGGCAACTGGGACAAAATGGTCAATTTCATGACCAGAATGTGCTCTGACAATGTTGAAATGTATGGTACATTGATTTTCATCACATTCAGCACTAAAATCAAGTCAGTTCTAGAAACATACCCAGTAGCCATGAATACGGCCATATATATGGCCATCACAACCATAATTGTATGGTCTGAAGCTGTCAGCATCCTTGACCATACAGTTTATGGATGGTTATGGATAGTGTGCAGCCCTAGAAAAAGCTCATTGCTGTCATGACTGGCAAAGGTGATCTTGTACATGAACACCTCCTTACCCAGCTCAGCAACATGTCCTGCCCTGACAAAGGCAACATGTGAGAACACCTTGGCAAGATGAAGATCCTCCATGAATGTATTGAGGGCATAGGCTTGAAAATTGAAGACAATCAGTACACCTCAATGATCTAAAAATCGCTCCCACCTTCCTATGACCACATCTGCCACACCCTCTCTGCTGCCAGCGAATTTACTGAAAAGCCCCTCATATCAGACATCCTTGTTGTGGCACTGCAAGAAGAATGGGATGAAGAAGTAGCATCAAAGGCCACAGGTGAGAATGTGGTGATGTCTGCACAATAACAGAACAGAGGGAAGGGTCAGGGCTCTGGGGGGAAGTTGAAGAAAAAGCCAGACAGATCCCACCTTAAATGCACAAACCCAGCATGTGGTAAAACTGGCCATCTCATTGTGGACTGTTGGAGCGAAGGTGGTGGAAAGGTGGGTCAGGGCCCAGCTTCAAAAAATAACAAGGCTAATGGAAAAGGGAAGGCAAAGGAATCAGCATCAGCAGCCATTGATGAAAGTGATGATGAACATGTTATTGCTGTTGTAGCTGATGACAGCGATGACCTAAATGTGGCCTTAATGTGCATGTCAGACTACAAGGCTGAGGGCAATGATCATGTAGCAAGGGGAGAAGAAGTTACAGCAATAGCTGATTGCAGAGCTTTGAAAACATACTCACCTGAATGTTGGAGATTCAAAAATTACACCAACATTGACCTGAAGCCTATCAAAGCCATGAACAGTGAAGTCTTCTATGCAGTAGGTAAAGGGGACCTTCAATTACCATTGCCTATGGGTGAAGGTCAGAAGCCCACCATTGCAAGATTTCGAAATGTGTACCATGCACCAAAGATGGCATACACTCTCATATCCCTATCACATGTTAGCCATGCTGGATTTCCCATCCACAATGAACCCACTGACCGTACCATGTATATCTGCACACCATGACCCAATGCTAAGGTCATAGCCAAGATTCCTGAAGCCAGAGGCTTATACATCATCTCAACCTCAGGTACATGCCAGACCATAGGAGCAAAACCAGATGTTGCTATGGCGGCAGGTAAGCTCAAGATGAACATCACTGAGCTACACAATATCTGTGCTCACTGAAACCATGCCACTCTCTGCTGCATGTATATTGATGGTCATATTGAGGGAATTGAGCTTGACCTGGACTCCAAACCGGAGTTTTGTGAGACCTGTGTGAAGGCCAAAGCAAAACACAAACTGTTCCCCAAACAAGGCCAATACGAGTATGTTGAGAACACTGGCAACAAGGTTGTTGGAGACCTGATGGGCCTGATGTCTGTCATATCACTTGGGGGAGCATGCTACACCTGCACATACCATGATCTACACACCCATGAATCAAAATCCGAGTACCTATCAAAGAAATCAGGTACCTTTGGGTTGTACAAGTGCTACGAGATCTGGATCAAGGTCCAGCAGAGTGTCAAAGTCATAAAGATCCTGGGTATGGATCGAGAGGGAGAATTCCTAAGCAAAGAGTTCACTCAGCACCTGAAATCAAAGGGAACAGAACATCACCTTACTGTGCATGATTCCCCACAGTCAAATGGAATTGCTGAACATTCCAACAGGTACCTGATGGACATGATGAGAGCATCCCTGATCAGTTCAGGATTACCAAAGTACCTATGGGCTGAGGCTCACTGGCATGCTGAATGGGTCTACAACTGCACTCCAACAAAAGCAATACCATCAGGGAAAACCCTGTTTGAGATGGCAACTGGCAGGAAGCCCAACATCTCTGGCCTTTGTCCATGGAGATCTCGTTGCTTGTCATGGTTTCACAATTCATTTATTTCATTGGCTTACCTATCATGCTTCTATCATACAATAACACTCTCACAGTACTATTATTAGAACACCCAACGTGTATTTAAGTAGAGCCTCAGCTGGCCTAAACCCCAGCTTCAGCTAAGGTTTATTCTACCTAACCAAACTCCTTGCTTTGTGACTATCTAAGTCAGTCTGCTACTCGTCCAAACTGGCTTTAACCTGTGTTGTATCATTCCACCGAAGTGCGAGTGGCAATCTTCACTTGATTGGAGTTAGTTGAGTTAGTGGCTTACATTTAGCCGAAGCTCAACACAAATGTTCCTCATCATTGCTGCACAACAGTGACCAACAAATTCGATGAACCTCACCTAACTAAACTGAAAGGTTGTTAGGCTGCACCTAGATGTATGTCGGTGCTTACACCATACATATGCCAGACCCTGAATTATTCGCAACCCTATCTGTTGCCTTCATGCTGTTCACCATCGCCATACTTTTGATTGTCATTTGACAAGTCTGCAGGTGTTGCGCATGGGCTCGTGAACGAAGGGCAAGACTACCATTTTATTACATTCCGCACATCCCACACCTACTGGTGCCATACCCAGTAATACCAGTACCACACCTCCCCACATTACATGATGGATGACCCATCACACCCTGAGAGACAACTGAGTCAGAGTCGACCTCAGACTCCTACCGAGCAGCATCCATCGACATCACCGATACCAGGGGCGTACTCCTCAGACCCAGTGACACACCCATACCACACCTCCTCAACCAGCCTACAATCGGAAGCAAGTCAGGAAGCGAAGAAGAAGGGTCTTTGGGGGAAGGTGAAGGAAGCCCTCTCAACCTCTGGGATGAGGAAGGGAGGAGGCTCCAAAGCTTCCTCGAGAATGACAGGGGTGGGGAAGAAGGAGCTGACCCCTATTCCTGAAGTGAGTGGCTCGCCACAGAAGCCGACACTCACAGGACAAGAATTGATGACTTTGGAGACAGCAATGGAGAGCTTGAGCTTGGGGCCTCCATCGCAAATCCCACCGGAACAGATTATGGCAAGTCCACTGGACACTGAGTGGCTAAAACTAGCAAGGGAAAGGAACGAGCAGTACCAGTTGCCTGGTATCCTCGGATGGTGAATATTTGCCCTGGAAAATGCAGAACCTGAGCCCACAGAGGGATCAACCTTGATCCCCGCTAAAGCCTCAGGGACCTTGGTCCACCAGCAGGGAGTTGCAAGAGACATTGTACTTGACCCTGTTGTTGTGACTGCAGCCTATTTATGTGTGTAATTTTGCAATCTAAAGTGTTTTACATGCATACTGAGATATAGTGAGCGAGTGGACTAAAACTATGCATCGACACTAATGCTACATGGTGCAATGATATGGAATATAACTTATGGCATAAGAAGCAATGGGATTCTAAACAGGACTTAGTCACAGCACTGTACCTGATGGGCATGCATGATGAGAAGGCCAAACCCTATACCCAATGCCTTAGGCTCTAACTTGCAAGCATGCTTGTGGGAGTTAGATAAAACCTTGAAGATTGCAGTGACACTGAGAATACTTAGCACGCTCGCTAACTGTGACATGTCGTACCTGAAAATCCAGGGAAATCCTTAAGCAAGATGACAGATATCACCAGCACAAACTTGGGCAATGGGCTTCAGCCAAAGTCCACAAGCCTGTGTCCCATTATTCTGAGTCCCATTGTTAGAAGACTCACTTGTTGCCATGTCTATGAGAAGCCTCTGTGAATCCAAGAAAGAAGTCTTGAACGACATATGCCAGGACTGATAGTTCTGGGCACCTAGACCTGTCAGTCGCTAGAGAACAAGCCCATGGGTGTCAGGAGAGCACCTCTTGGCACATGTTTAGTGAGCTCACTATAGAAATGAGACTAAAACTGGGAAGTCCGACCCGGATGCTCAGTAAGGCAGCAGTGATAATGTGCTACACATGTAGGAGTCTGGGTACTGCGTGATGTTTGTAATTCTAATTCCCCTGTAGTATAAGTAGGCTGGTTACAGTAGGTAGAAGCCAAGTTTCGAGCCTCCAAGTTCCCGTGCATGTGTTGAAGGCAGTACTGTAACAAAGGATCAGTTTGTGACTTTGAGCTTTGCATAGAGTTAGCAAGCTCACTCAGAGAAATATGAGATACCCTTGAGAAAAGACTTTTTGTGCACTTAGTACCGAGAGAATAAGAATCAGTGAAGCTGTTCTGTTCCATTGAGTGTTGATAAGTCCGTTCAGAGTATGTTCTGAAGAGGAAAAGCGAGATCTGTTCTGTTCTGTTCAGTCTGTTCTGCATCAGTGCTGTTTCGAGTTTCCGTTTTCTGAATCTGTTTCCAAGCACTTCTGAAGTGTTCTTGAGTCAAGATCATCTGTTGAAGTTAGTTGGAGAACCCCTACACACAGTTGTGTAGTGAGCAGGCTAAGTCAGTACTTGCCTGTGGTGTTCTTTTAGCGAGCTCACTAAAGTTTTGGCATGTATTGCCTCTGTTTCTGTCAGGATCAGTGTCCCTTGTGTATTTTAACTCAAATCTGCCTTGAAGGTTGCATCGTGCCAGTGAACGACCTTCCTGTAAAAGTTCCTAGACTTAGGGATTCATTAGAGAAAGCTTAGCTTCACTAAGAGCGCTGAGAATAAGAGAAACTCTTTGAGATATTGAAGTATAGTTGGATCGCATTAGAAATAATCGCTCCCCCTAGAACTTACAAGGGTGATTGTAGTTTGTGTAGTTGTGTGAGTGTGTGTGTGGGTTTTTGAGATTCACCTTTTAGCCCACTCACTATTCCACAGGTGCCCACAGCCAGCCTCTTCAGTGTCCTTCAGTCAATCCATCAGTTCTCCAATGAGAGGGAGTGGATAGCAATTTTTTATGGTCATCTCATTGAGCTTTCGATAGTCCTGTATGGGGCACAACTTTCTGTCCTTCTTTTTGACGAAGAAGAACAGGGATGCCATTGGAGATTTCGAGGGTTGAATCCTCCCTGTGGTTAAATTCTCGTCCAAGAATTTATCCAGTTCCTCCTGCTCTGCCGGACTCAGTGGGTATACTTTACAGTCCAGGTTGGCATTAGCATTGGGGATTAACTCGATGGCATGGTCCCATGGTTTTCGGGGCAGTAACTCGTCAAATTTTTCTTTATTGAACACATCTTTGTATTTGCAGTACTCTTCTGGTACAATCTCCTCAAACATTTTCACCTCCTTTTTATTGTGAGCCTGTGCCACTAGTTCATTGGCCTTGGTGCCCATAGCACATTGATGTGCTCGGTGATGGTCAGCGCGCAAATGAAACAAGTGTCTAGATCATCAATCTAGATACTAAATCACACACACACACACTATCACCAATGTATATAAGTTCGAGGGTGAGTACGATAGAAGCACTCGTGATGTACTTAGATTTAGATAATCTAGTGGGGTTTTGTCTGAAAACAACTTCAATTCTTCTTTCGATGTATTTTACACAAAGTACACTAGTCCGTGATAGCAGGGTTTTATGAACTTGTTTTGTAAGGTATAGTCGAGCAAGTTATACTCGTTTTGACGTCATCTAGAAGAGCTTCTAGTGGATACTTCAAATAATCAAACAACCAAAGACTCCGAGGTCTACAAAGAGTGCAAAATCACTCTACAAAGAACGCTCAGGTTCTGACTTCAAGTACAAGACTTGCAAAGAGTACACAGACTCTGGAGTTCCTTGAACTCGATGATTGTTTGAACTTAAAGTGTTCTAGGGCTTATTTTACTTCAACTAGATGAGGTCTTTTGACTTAAAGTCGACTCAGCACGTCTAGATCACTAATCTCGGAGAGAGAGGGCATGAGGCCTTTGTCCATGGAGCAGTTCAATTAACTAGCAAGGTGCAAACACGAGGACGGCTCTACTTCCTACTTAACTCTTCTAGATTACTGTAGTTGCCCTTATGGGTTGACTTTGGTAACTTAATTCACTTCAGTCAAGGATATGCAATAAAACCAGTGATTGATTAGGTAGCTATACAGGCTACTAGCACAAACGCAGGGGAATGCTTTCCTGCCATTATGCGTCTAGTCGCTGCTAATTTATACGATTCGTGTTCTAGGTATAGAAGCCCGTATCTACAGTAATTATGGTATGAGCTTTGGAATTAATACAAATGGTGAGTCACTATCCTACAAGTATCGTGCCATTCCATAGTTTCTATTCAGTTTGATGCGACTGCGCCAGGTTATTCTGTTGCCGAGGAGTGCCCTACTGGTCTGTGGGTGCTCCTTCTTCCATCTGCAAGGCTTGCCACGTGCCGTATGTATTGAATACTGTGGTATGCACAGGATCTTGAGGATGTAACCACTGATTGCGATTGGCTGCAGGTCCGAGATTATATTCTGTTGATCACTGTGCGATCAAGGTCGGTCACCTTGGTACCCAATGCAGCTATTCATTCTTCCAAGGTTATTCCTTTCCTAGCCTGAGTTGATCTCGAAAGCTGATCTGTTTCTCGACTTAGCAATTTTTCTTGACAGGTTCTTTCTACTTGTTGAGGCGATGAGGCATCTAGTTCATTCCATTCTTCAACTTCTTGGTTTTTATACTCCATACAGATGAGTCCCTGAGATTTGACTGTAATAGTCTTGTTTAGGTAGGGCTTAGCTTGGCATGTTGACGGCTGGTAGAATTGACTCTTTGAGATGTCATTTCTAAGTCCGTTCTGTACTGCTGTGCTTTCATTCTTTTATGTAGTATTTAGCTACCAGCGCCAAGCCTCCACTGTAGCTCTCTGTACCGCTTGTAGATTGCATAAACTGATGTAAAATCGCAAAATCTATGGGTAGCCTGATACCAGGCATATCAACATATATGCAATGCCTCTTCAAAGTCCACGACTAGAATTGTATCCCCTTCTTCATACTCTTCTCCCCACCTGGTGGTTGGGTCTTCATCTGGCAGTGAGAAGGGTATCTTTCTGCAGGTACATCGGACGAGGGTTATGGCACCCATATTCCAGTCAATCAACGGGTTATGTCATTGTAACCAATCATGCCCCAAGAAGATCGGGAGCATCCCTCTGAGGTCCACCACAGCCAACTCAATCTTTTCCATGTGATTTCCTATTTTGAGCCTCACTTCCACATATTCGGTTATGTCCCCCCCCTTGTTCCTGGTCCCATCAGCATTGTATACCGGGGTAGGTCAGGCCACCTTCTTAGTATTAAGGTGGTTTGCCTGTACCCATCCCTGATCAATTGAAATTCCGGTGCACCTGCTGTCTATGAGGGCCTTCATGTCAAAGGTGTCACGCATGTCCATGGTTTCAAGTTGTAGATTCACTGATACGCTACACCCTTTCCTCTCATGGACATACATGGGGGGTTTTTTTAAGTCCTCTAGCCATTCCCATCTGTCCCTTGCTTCGGGCGCTGATTCCTCCTGCTCTTTCAACACTTTGTGTAACTCGTTCGTTACCTCCTCCCTCCGTCTTGGGTGTACCCATCCGTTCAGGGTGGCACGGGCTTCTGAGGTTGTCTTGGCAAGTCATAAGGCCCATTGCGTCCAGTGTGGCCCAAACGGTTCATAATAGGTATTCAGGATAGACCTGAAATTTCTCACCATTTCCCTGTGAACAGAATGGGACCTGCCAGGAGTGCGGACCGGTATGTCAGACTGAAGATAATCTTCAGGGTTGGGCACCTCTTCCAACGTTACCAGTTTGGGTGGCAAACCTTGCAGTGGCATTTGGTCACCGGGGCGAGAGTGGCCCCTGGGCAGGAGTTGGTCGCTCTTGAACGTTGAGGGATCCTTCTTCTTACTTTCCGAACCCCTGGGATTCCTCGTATCTTCGGCCTCCTCAGGTTGGCCATGTCCAGCCCCTTTCTTCTGGGGGGGAGAGCTCATCAGCAGGACAGCCTGGCCTGGTAACCCTTCTACCATCCCAGGCAGGTAAGCCCCTAGAGGCTCATTGCCAAGCACCAATTCCGCACCAGAGTACAACTTAGGCTCAGGGCAGCAGAAATCCTCTTCTATGCCATTGTTTTGGTGCAATTCTTCCTTAGTCTCCTTACTTGCTAATGCGGCAAAATGATGCATATATTGTTCGTACAGTGTTTCTACATATGTAATATGAGTCCGACCAGCAGAAGGGGAGCACGCACTAGTAGAGACTAAGTCCTTAGCCAATGCTGTCGAATTGCTTATTTTGATGCCGGCTTGTCTTTTGATGACTTATTGTCCTTCACCTCCTCAACATTAGTATCCTTCCCTAATTCTTCCTTCTCAGCCTCCACAAGCATCTGACGCAGTCACTGTGCAGGGATCTTTTTATGTGGGGGGAGCTTAACTGGGATCCACTTGGATTTGTCTTTGGGACATTTGTGGTCATGGCTCCAACCCGTATTTCCACACTTGAAGCACCTCTTCTCGCTCCAGAGTTTATCTATCTCCATTGGCTGCCCCTGACCTCTGTATGTCATTCCTGTGGCATCCTTCCTGTCTCTGGAATTCCCAGAACTGCTGGCTTTTCTGGACGACTTGTTTTGGCTGCCTCAACCCGAATTCTCTGGGGAGGGCTTATGCGTGTCCTTCTGGGCTTGTCCATACCAATAGTTTGTGTTGATACGTTCAATCCTCCACTTCCATTCTGCGTATGTCTTTGGCCACTCGTTGTCTCTGTGCATTATGGTGTTCTTGATGGTGGGTCATATCACATCTTCCACCGTTGCGAACATCTGCTTCTCGTCATCAAACTCCTCACACTCATGGGCTAGCTCCTCAAACTTGCGGAAGAACTCTACCACCAACGGGAAGTCCGCTTGTCGCAGCTTCTTCCACTGCTGCTGTTTAATCACTAACTCCACTACCTCTCTGAATTTGTCCTTTACTGCCTGCATAAATTCTTCCCATGTGGGTAGTCTCCAGTGACCTCGTTCCTTGTCTCAGAACTTACAGTCCTGGTGCACCCACCAATCCTGAGCTTTGCCCCTCATGTACGATTGCACAAAGGTGATCCTGAACGGATTGATCCCTTCTGAGTTCAGGGTGTACTGCCATGGAAACACTGCAAAGTACAATTTGCAATGGTTGAAGAACTGGCAGATATCCTTGGAGTCTCTGTAAAAGAATTCGGAAATGGTGATTAACTTCGGTTTCACCTTGTCCCATGGGTTCTTGTCTACTGGTCCTGACCATGCAGGTGGCATGTTTGGTGGCGATAGCAGTATGGGCAGTAGCAGCAGATTCAGTGGTCATGGTAATGACCTGAGGTGATGGTTATGATGCAGGGAAGGATATCCCCCAGGTCGATTATGATACGGTACGGGAGGCGGTCTTGGCGGCAGCAGAACTGGCGAGTTAGTCTCTTTTCCTTTTCCCAGGTTAGTGGGAGGGTTTGATGGTCCCCCTGCTTCACTCCCTCCTCCGCCTGCCTGAAGCCCTTCTGATTCCCATAGATGCAGCATTACCACTGGTCTCCTGTATGGTTTGCACCCCTTCCTCTGGTCTCCGGCATGGCAAAGGTTCCATACAATGGTGGCCTTATGCCACGCTTCCACTTCCACTTTGTTCCTCATGGTAATAGCATCTCCTATTGCTCTCACACCAAAGTAATCTTCTCCCGCTTCTGTAAGTATCCACATCAGATCTTCCAACATATCCCCTGCTATAATCTCATACAAGTCGGTCCATGTAAGGGACCATAATAGGATAGGTACTGTGTCCACCCCCCTAATGAGAACCTCCCGGACCTGTTTCATTATCTCTGGCTGTATGGCCACGTGAGATGGCATTCTCAGCATTTCTGACCCTCCACCTTCTGAGGTCGGACTCCTCATCCCAGAGGTCATTGCGGTAGTCATTGAAGGCATCAGCTTGTTCCTGCTCTGTTCTGGCCCTCCGGATTGCATATCAAAGTCTCCTTCCGGTGAGCTCTGCTTGCTCTCTTGCTTCTTCCTTGGTGGCATCGGGCTCGAGGGGGAAGTCGAAGTTGTGCCATATGACTCACTCTTTGGCCTCGGCAATGCGTGCCTCCCATGCTCCAGCTTGCTCCAGTCTGGCCGCTCTCGCTGCAGGGAGCCTGGCATCTCTAGCATCGAAGTCGGACTCAACAATCTCGTGGTGGGTTCAAGTCCATGGTCACTGATTGACTGGGAAAGGGACTCAGAATGCTCTTGGTGCCACTGACAGGGTGAAAACTGTGACACAGGGGATTGGCTTGGCAGCAGAAGTTGTTCTAGCAGTCTCAGGGTTGTAGGACTCGATCTCCTCCCAGATACGCTCTCTGGTTTCGGTGTCAAGACTGACAGTGCTCTCAACCTTGTCCTTGGTCCCAGAGGGCCCTGCGACAGGTTCATCCAGGTTGACAGGGTCCTCCTGTGGGGTGAATATCCACCCAGTTCTAGGATGCCAGGCAACTGGAATTCCTCGCTGTGCTCTCTCCCGAGACTCAGCCACTCCTGGTCCATAGGGCTCGACCGAATCTGGTCAGGCAGTAGTTGTGGCAGAGGCCCCAAGACCAAGCTCTCCATCTCCATCTCCAGCATCGTCGCTTCCTGACCCACTTGAGCCTTCTTCGACCTCCGGCCACTCTCCTCCGAATCTAACTCTGATTCCATTGCAGATTTCTTCCCGTGCCCACTCATCTCAGGTATTGGGGTCAGGTCCTTCTTCTGGGCCCCCATCGTTCTCGAGGAAGCTTTGGAGCCTGATGCCTTCTTCATCCCAGATGTTGAGAGGGCTTCCTTCGCCTTGCCCCATAGACCCTTCTTCTTTGCTTCCTGGCTCTGTTCCGATTGGAGACTGGTCGAGGAGGCCTGGTATGGGTATGTCAACGGGTCCAACAAGTATGCCCCTGGTATCTGTGATGTCGACTGAGGCTGTTCGGTAGGAGTTGGAACTCGATCCTGACTCTGTGGGTTCTCAGGGTGTGACAGGTCGTCCATCGTGTATGGCTGGTATGTGTGGTATGGGGATTACTGGGTATGGTACTGGTAAATGTGGGATGTGTGGGATGTAATGAACTGGTAGTCTTGCTCTTTGTTCTTGGTTCCTAAGGCAGCATCTGCATGCTTGTCAGGCGATGATCAGTACTACCACAATGGTAAAGATTGCAATGGCCACAGTGATGGTCACCAGAAAATCGGTGCTCGGCATATGCCCAACTGTCTTGATGAAAGACGTCAAAGAACAACACGACAACTCTTCAAGTCAGTCGAGGGGTTATGCGATATTAGATAAAAGCTGAGTATGATGGGATGCAGCTGGCCACCGTTGATCATCAATGATGGGGAGCTGATAAGTGAGCTACAGCTAAATGTTAGCCACCAGTCCCATGATCGAGATTGAGCACAAACTACCGCAAAGTGGATAGTATAGTGCGAGTCAGACACATGTAAGATGAGGGGTGGATGACTTAGATAGTTATGTAGCAGGGAGTTATGACTGGGTAGTATAAACCTTAGCTGTAGCTGGGGGTTAAGCCAGCGTAGGCTGCTACTTAAATACACATTTTGTATGCTATAAATAATACTGTGGGACTGTTTCAGTAAAACGGATAATAGTTCATAAGCAGGAATATATAAGAAAATGAATAAAGGTGAATAAACCATGACACAAATGCATCAACGCATTTTTTCCAACACATGCACAATAACACACATGCACATGCATTTAATGCAAACACAGCAAACACACTAAAGCATCAGATAAACACCAAATTCACCATGCCCCACATGCATGGATATGATGACATTTGTTGCTGAAATGGCACTCCCCCCAGTTGTAGTTTCTGCAGACCTCATCAGAGATGCCTGCACTCTGATTTGGCAACATTGGTTTTGGCTTCATCACAATCTTCTTGGATATATCTGCTGCATCCTGGACAACAGCAACCCCAACTGAGTCGATGTATGCTGTCTTTTCATGCACAAACTTGTGGAAGTCTGAGAACAGGACATCCCACCTCAAGCTAATGATGATACATGCGGCATGGTCATAGTTGATGACCTGATAATGGAGGGAAGAGTAGCAGACACTGGAAAGTTTGTTGATATGTCACAGGTATGCATTGAGTTCACGCATCCACAATGGGAAAGCAAAGAGCACCACCTCAGTGTATGCCTCCCATGTGATGTCCCAATGACCATGCTGAGTGATCTTGTTATTGGATTTCATGGAATCAAGAGCAATTGAAACCCCTTCACTGATTTCTACAGTTACTTCCTTGTCTATGGTTGCTGAGTTGATGCTTGAGAAAATTTCATCAAAGTCTACTGCATCATCCTGGAGAATAGCTGTCCACAGCTTTTCAGGCAGGCTAGGGCAGTCTAGTGACATTCAGAGGTCTCATTTTGACTTCTTTATGTTCTTCCTGTAGACTTGGATGAGTCAACGAATTTTGGTGACTTCCGGGCAAAGTGTAGGTTTCACCCCCATCAATCTAGGGAAGTGCCAACCATAGGAAGAGCGGAGTTTGTCTGAGTCTGAACCTGATCCAGAAGAAGACTTGGAGGATGTAGTAGTATCCTTGTGGTGTTTCCTGCGCTTGTGCTGCACTTTCCTCTTCCTTTTCTTGGTCTGCTCTCCAGAATTGCTCTCATTCTGTGTCAGTTTCATCCTCTGGCTGCCTTCTTAGTCTGTGCAATGGACCAGGAGAATTTTGCAAGCAACACTTGTGAGTTGCATTCAACTGTGGTTCATTTGCATTCAACTCAAGTTCAATTGTGTTTGCTTGCACTTAACTTGCATGCATTTGCACACATATGGATACATTTGTTTGTGTGGCCTATGAATACTTAGTGCTGTCTTAAAGATGCTAGTAAACTGTGTCTTATCTTGATCATCTACTTACTGTTCTGAGTTCCTGGATATGTCCCACCAGGTCAATGTCACTTACTATGCCTCAGGAAAGCCATTGAATAATATGAAAATGCTATAAATGTATAGGTGTTAGCTACAAAAAGAGATCCCTCCATCACAGTGACATTTCACTTCAAAATGACTAAGAAATCTTACCCTTTTTTGAACTTGGTGGGATGAACAGGTTCTCAAATGAACGAAACTTGCTTATGCATCTCACAAAGATGTCATGCATGCATCCCAAAGTCGAACACAAGCCTTAAGTAGATGCACGCATGCATTCTGCAAAATAAAGCATGCAGTTGGAAATGAAATGCAAGCGAGCAATGGCAGCTCACAATTGGCTTGTAAGTGTGATGGAGTTGTGACAACATGTAACATTTGTGTTCGACTAGAGTTGAACCATCTTAACTGTTTGTCACTTCTGATATTTCTGAGCAATTGGCATCTAGTCATCACATCTGTGCTTGTTTGATATTCCTATGATATATCTGCTATTGAATTTGACCCTCTCTGTTGGGATTTGGCAATCCAGCATCATGCCAAAGTTGCTTATTAAGGTAGAAGTCTTAGGAAAAGCATGGAACATTCTAGTAAAAGTATATTTAGTATAAAAGTAGGTACTGTAGAGTAGATCCTCATGTGTTTGCAGAGCTCAGCCAAGCACAATACTATTGGCTTGCTACTGCACATGTGATACTGGGAACAAACTGAGATCCCATTTTCCAACACTCTCTGACCAGCAACCAACATTTAACTTAGCTTCTTCAACTTCCTTCCTCCAAGTCCATCCATGCCTTATGCAAATTTTCTTGGGATTAGAATCCTCTATCGACCACTTTTAAGATAGATTATTAATTTACTGGATATATTGGGTCAAAGAATCGCTTCATAGCTTGATTTTTCGGCTCTTGAGTTTTGGTTCTGAACTTTGAGAGAGCATCACCTCAAAATAACATTCAACTTTCTGGTCTTTGTCAAAAGGTATTATATCTCTCTGCATCTAACAGCATTGACTAAATTCTGGTGTTATTTTCATACAAGAAATCTCAAGAAGTTCTTTGTCATGCTTGCATGCACAAATGTATGCTTGCAAGTGTGCTTGCAAAATTCTATATGCCCATGATGCTGCATGATGTGAGCAAGAACTTGTTGCACATAGGGCCATGAAAGAGGTTCAGTCATTTTAGGACCTAGGTCTAATTTCACTGCCACTTCCCCAACGATCCCATAGAGCAGTGTAAGGGTCTGGGATTTGGTTCTCTTGGCATCATGGAAATCTTGGACTATGGACTTGAGGGATGCAACAATCTCATCACTGAACTGAGGTGTGTCACCGGTGTCAGACATTGCCAAGGAATGATGATATGGAGGAGAGGATGGAATATGATAATATTCAATAGTAACTGAAAAAACTACAACGAGTCTGATAACAGGACTGTGAGAAGGTGACTGAGAGAGTGACCCTGCAAGCTTACCTGGTAGGACAGTGAGAGGGTGACTGAGAGAGTGATGTGGCTCCTCTCCATGCTGCACTGTCTTACCAGGAACTGATCAAGAGACAATTGTGAGAACCTGGTCTTTGAGCAAATGTCAGGTTAAAATCTCCATGAGGATCTCAGTCCTTCAAATGGCACTGTGAGGATCCCAGTCCCCTGGATAAGTTGATCTGGCATCCTAGTGCCAATATCCATTCTGCCCTCACCACAATTAGACTTGCATAAAGCAAGCTTTAAACCCTTTTTTTTTGGTTGAAAATTCTTGGATCATATTTGAATTGATTGAAATGGTACAGTATTTTGGACATTTCTGACATAGCCAGCCCAGAAGGCCATTGTATTCATGTTCAAGGAAATCCAGTTGAAGGGTGAGTGCATGAACTTGATTATGGTTGATTAGCCTCCTCACTCTCTGCAAGGGCTGGATACTGAGGTTTTTCCAGTCCATAAACTGGCCTGCAGTCATCAAGAGGATATAGATGTCACAGTAGCATGGAGAAAAAGAAGCACACTTTCTTTGCTTCTCTGGGTGCCAAACAATCATAGCGTGCAATGGGTCTATGCATACCTAGTGTCTAGGGTACATGCATTCAATCAAGCACCTTGTCGTAACCTTAATTGTGATCCATCTCCCATCTCCATTGCCCCCTTTCTGGAATTCTTTCAACAGAAAGTCTACATCTGAAACAAGTCTTTGTTCTGAAATCAGTGACAGAGCATCAAAAGACAATGGAAGATTAGTGTTGTTGAGGTCGCAAAAGATTCAGGTTTGGGACAGTAAGCAATGGACCGGAGATGGGTTGTATTCTGCAGGATGCTTTAAGGGTGAATTGTTTATATTTCCTGTTGTAGCGTTCTGACACTGCAGTTGTTCCGATTCAGTGAAGTTGGGCCAGGATATGCCTCACAAGACTAGATGATGTACTTCCTCATTCCTGGTATAAAATTTTCTTTCTTCTCTCTGCTCCTAGCTAACATGCTGTTTCCATGACAGCTCTCTTTCTCCATATGATCTGGACCACAGCTGACTAGTTTTGAGATTATTGGCATTCACAATAATATTGGCTGTGATTGTTGGAGGGTACAACCCTCCACCAGAAGGATGGCAAAGTTGGACATCAATAATCCTGGCCAAAAATAACTCATCTGGATGTTTCTTAACTGAGTACATCACTGTTCCTGTTTGTTCTTCTATGACTCATGTTGATACTTAGTGTCTTTGTTGGAAAACAGGAGATCAGTTCATTCCCAGTATCACATGTGCAGTAGCAAGCCAATAGTATTGTGCTTGGCTGAGCTCTGCAAACACATGAGGATCTACTCTACAGTACCTACTTTTATACTAAATGTACTTTTACTAGGATGTTCCATGCTTTTCCTATGACTTCTACCTTAATAAGCATCCTCAGCATGATGCCGGAATGCCAAATCCCAACAGTCTTCACTGTCTTCAATGGAAAAGAACCAAACTACATGCATAACAACTGTGTTCCTTGGTATGTAACCCACTTCCCATGAATGAAAGATATCTTCATTCTTGCCCTAGATCATGAACTCTTCGTCTTTCAGTGTCGTAGGATTCCGAAATATATTTCTCCAACCCTGGCTCTACTGTGAAGTTTACACTCCCTATCGATTGAATGACCAACAACATCCACTATGTGATTAAACCAGAAGGCAATGAAGGATTATGTCATCTCATGGACCTTCGAGGTTCCAGAACATTGATGGTGTAGATTACATCGAAACATGTGAGTGTAGGTCATCCTCTTTCACTGGAATTCCCTAATTCTTCGTGTAGATGCATGGAATATACTCATGTCGGTCACCACTGAAGGCTGCTTTCATTTAAAAATAGACTGAATTTCATGAGAATTTGCATGGCAAATATTTGGCCTGGACATATGCTAGCAGTGGGTGCTCACACTTCTTTCATAGAGGCCCTCCTTCTATTTCCTATGATCTGTGGGATGCAGAATGTATATTTTCCACCTCGGAATGGATTTATGCAGTGCCAAATCGCTTCTTTAGTTGACTGTATGTTGAGATACTCTGATTAAATGATGACTTTCAACTCACATGCAAAATTTTAGGTCTGTATTTGAGTACATTGAAATGAAAGATTACAAAGTTCCTAACTCTTCTGCATGCATGGTACACGATTGTCAGCAGGGGAGATCCTACGTGCGAAGACGGCATTGCCAAACCCGGATGATGTACACCTTCTCATCCAGCGCAATCAGACACTGCTGAGTTGATGACAACTGCGTAATCGTCTCAGGCACAAAACCTTCATCAACATGGCTCGTAAACTACATCGAAGACCATCTTATTTGATGCTGTAATATGTTCACCAGTCCAGAAATTTCCGAGCTGGCATTTCTCCCTGGAATGAAAGGCATAGAGCAAGACACCATGTTAGAGGCAATGGGAAAAAGATAAGCTAAAGAATGGTATGCACCGGAAGGATGCTATCTCTTTACTCGGTGAGTAGTGGAGAGTGTGGGTTCGAGGAGATCTCTGCCATTTTTCAGTGATGCTGGGCCTTTTGTTCATGGAATACATCTTCACAGCAGGTCCAGTACTAGCAACCCACTGGGAGTCCCCTAGATAGGAGCCTGCAAGGAACATAAAACCACTCCTTCAAAGGCTTGGTAGATGCTGGTGTTGGTGTTGCTACCAGCACAAGGAGCGAAAGGGAACGCAAACTTTCCTTTTGAACCACTGTATGGGCTGGCATGCAATGTCCATCCCGGACTTGTCTTAAAGTCGTGGTTCAGAGTCTGCTGTGGCAAGGCCTTCCATCTTCTTTCCTGACATCTATCATTGTTGCCTTCAATGCGCTCCTACCTCATTGGACCCTTCCATTGTGGATGGCTCTTTTTCATCCCGCAGCTGTATGAGTATTTGGCGAAATTATTCCACATGAAGTAAGTGCCGATTTAGGTTGCCCCTCCCATGAACGAATCATTGCAGACTTCCTGCAGTGTTCACACCCGCCTGAACCAACAAAGATCATTGTCTAAATCACTTCGCTTTATTAAAAAATACAGGCCCAGCCTGCTGAAGCAATACACCACCTTTGCACTGAGATAGATGGATCCGATAGTGAGCACATCGACCTTCTGCTCTCCTGTGCATACATGATGATCCCCTTAAGCTCATCTGCTTGCTTCAAACAAACAGCATCTCACCACACATACTCCTCTCCCATGTTCAACATCTCGATCTGGATGAGAACAGGGTTCATGTTATGGA